TGAGACTTTAGTCTTTGCAACTTTACAGATCTTCTTTATGCACCAAGAGCTTGTAACACTCCAAAGAGAAAGGAAAAATTGAAATCGCATCATATGACCCCTTTAATAGAGAAGAAATGAGCCCACTCACAAACATACACTTACAGACATAATATATATACACACACACACACACACACACACACACATTCACAATACCAGCCAAACCTTGTATTTCTTAGTCTCCTCAGTTTTGGGAATCTGCCGTGTCCAGGAAAGCAGAAGAGGGTGAAAAGAGGAAGAATAAATGACAAACTAAACAATAAACGCTGTTATTCAAATGAGCTCCCCAAATAAAGCAGCTCTGTTTACAGTCAATAAAACCTTCAGAACATTTTTGTCCTTTTAAAAATTTTTATGACTGATGGCTAATATCAGGTTATTTTTTGTCAAAAACTGTGGTTACCATGCTAAAATTATTTCCACCTGACAGTCCAGGAAAAAACAGTTGCCTTAGAGATAAATAAAGGAAGAAGCTCTTGTTCACTTGGAAACATTCGTAATGCTTGTTGTGAATATCTACATCTGAATATTGCGACACCAATGACAATTATCTGTAACATGAATACAATGTCAGATATTAAATATAGCTGATATTTAACAACAATATTGCTAATCTCTTTATCTTAGTTGTTAAGTACAGAGACTGTTCTACATGACATTATTAAAATTAAACATAATTTAAGAGACATTAAACAAACAAAATAAAAATAAATGTAAATTAATTTATAAAATAAATTGCATTTACATTGTAATTAAAAGTATTTTATTTATTAATTATGTAATATTTAAATTATTTTAAATTAATTTATATTAAAATGCAAATTAATTTCTAGTTTTAATTTTTAAAAAAATCTAATAAAATTAAATATATTATGTAAAATAAAAATAATATGTTTATCAGATTTTATTCCTGTGTATTTTTAATACACAGGAAGTTTAAGTTTGTGGGATTGTTTCCCTTTCATAAATATTAGGCATGAATTAATTATGAATTAATTATAAACTGAAAAAGAAAACTTGGTAACACTTTATTTTAAGAAGTCTATGTTACACAGGTTACATGTAATTACTATTATAATAACAATTAATTATGCATAATTACACGCAAGTAACCCAAAGACAAACCCTTATCCTAACCCTAACCATATAGTAAGTACACATAGTTAATTAATATTACTCAGTACTTAAATGTATAATTACACTGTAACAATGACACCTTAAAATAAAGTGTAACCGAAAACAGGAAATGGTCAATTCCCTGGGCACTGTGCATGCTACAGAACTAGGGAGCTGACAAAGGCACACCTTCATCTTTGATCGAAAACATCACAAGTACATTTGATCCATTGGAGAGAGACATCAGTCCTTCAGACAAACCTTTGCATCGATCTGTCATTCATACTGAGGTCTGGACAAGAAGACCGAGGGCTTTAATCCTGCCTCAACATAGTATTGATCAGCTGATCTTAAGCTACCTGCTGCCCATCATCTACACACTCTCACAAACACACACAAGATGACAACAACACAATCATGCTGCTCTTATATAACAGGTCAGTATGTCCTGTTCACAGTCTCTCGCCCCTGTGGAGCTCCTACCAAACCCCCACCCAAAGACCCACCACAGAGAAAAGTGCTGGCTAAATCAATGAGTTTGAAATGAGCTGGAATGTGTAATTATTCATTCAGAGTAATTCAGGACTGGTCCACTGGAGAGAGAACACTTAGCCAGCACTCAAGGGCAAAAAAACATGCTGTGATCATATTATTATACAGTCAAATTCTCTTCAGCTAAAGTACAGAGTTATTGGAGGAATACTGTTATTACAGGAATCTTATTCTAAAGGAGGACATGCACTTATAAGATCATCTGAATGATGGAAGGAGTCTTACCTGCATCCTTTCCAGCATGTCGAAGAACTCCGCCGACTGGAAAAGAAAAGAAAATTGAGATTTATGGTTTTGTGGTGATATTTACATCAAACCATTTTTTTTATCATTACCTGACAGGAAATTGTAGAATCAAGAAAGAAGCGAGGATTAATACATTATGACACAACTTATTTTTACTATGATAAGTTGTGTCATTACTATTTTCTATACTGTAAAATAATATTAAAGGCATCAAAACTTGCACCGTTGCTAAAATACCAAGAATCTGATAATTATTTTCATGTCATGGTTGATAACAGATAAATGGCTATACATTAAAAAATTCTATACACTTTTTCTAAATAAATAAAAAATGAAACACTAAATCCCAAAATCATTACATCGTTTTAAATGCTATAGATGAAAATGAGCATCAAAACATGAAAATGTGAATATCTATTTTGAGATTTAGAAAATTACATTTAACAGTGTTATTAAATTATTAAATTATTAAGTTTTAAAGATCAACATTAAGTGAGCACTAACAAGATAATCTACAAGTAAAAATGGGTAAAATGAGCATGCTCAAATGCATGTAAGAAAAATCAAATAATGATAAAATAATAGATATGGAACCAATTAATTGAGCATCCCTAATCAAAACCCAAAGATTTTTTAAAAATTAAATTAATTAAAAAAATACTTAAAATAAAATATGAATAAAATAAAGTTAAATTAAATTAAATTAAATTCTATAATCGATATGGAACCTAACTGAAAGCCAAAATATACAGTACAAGCTAAGAAAAACCTTTTTTACAGTTATTAAAAAGCTAAATTATTAAATCACTTTAAAAATGACTAAAACACACTTTAAAAATACTTTTAAAAAGCTAAACTTTAAACTTTAAGAATGCTAAAATATTATAAATGACTTCAATATGATGAGAAAACAAAACAAATCTTACATTTCAGTCTTATATTTCATTTTGGTCTCAACCCTTTGTCTATAGATTCTCTGCTCACTCTAGACATTCCCTTAATCAACATGAGGTGCATCCTGGGATGCTTTTTAAAGCATACTAAAGAAGTTCCCATGTATAATGGACTCTCAAGCCTACACACCCAACTCCCACAGCCTCACACAGCAAAGCCTGATCGTATCTAAAATCAAGTCAACAACTACAGACTTGTCCGCAATCCACTACACATTTGTAGCGCTATATCATAAATATGGAATGTAATATAGGTCAAGATATGCTCAATGCATTGTAAATAACTTCAAATGCCTCTTTCTCCATGCAGACTTAACAAACCATAATACTTCCTCACTCTAAATCAAATGTACTGAACCTTTATAGCTGCATTTAATTTATGGGCTGTGCAACCATTAGGGCTTAATTATTAGTTATTTAAGAAATACAATAGAGGTTTAAAGCACAATTTGTAGTCTAGACCTGAGGGGCTTACAATAAAAACAACTCTCAAATATTCTTTGCACAATATTTCTACTGAACCCAGAGTCTCTTACCTTGACAGAGCACCCCTGCTAGTTAAGAGGCAGTAGAACAGAAAAACATCTGATATTTGTTCAAAACCGATCCCCTGGGTTTAAGAATATTCCTGTGATCGGATGGAGTGTAACAGATGCAAGTAGGACAGAACAAATGCAGATCGGTTAATGTTTAACCTGCCATGGATCCAAGGGCAACTCACTTCACAAAGTCAACAGAGTAAAGCCCAGCTGAGACATAGTTGACCAAATAACCTTGAGGAACTGAGACCACAACATCAATAGGACGCATGAGGGTAACTTCTTAACGCTAAAGAGGAACGGGTGGCCAAAGAAGGAACAATCCGAGTGGACTGTGTACATTTTTGGAAAGGCTTTGAAAGTTTTGCAATGCAAAGACCTTTTGACCTTTTTTGCTTATATATTGGATATTGACTTTGTTTTTGTCCCACAACCAAACAAAACTCACGAGTCAGCAGTCCAATGCCTGAAGCAGTTTGCATGAGTACATCAAATCAAATATAAAACATAAGAGCTACATGATAAAAAATTCACATAGGTCTTAAATTATGCCGTAGTGTCATAGTAAGGTTACGAAGAGACAGAGCTTATCTCCCAACACAACCTGTTGCTCCCACTGTTGTCTCAGACAAGATTATCACCATATTCTGGATCTTTGAAGTTTCACCCATTTTATAATGAAGCACACAATACATCCAAATATTTTCTAGTAGACATAAAAAGTCCCTGATATTTGATAAGACACCATCAATCACTATATATATATATATATATATATATATTATAATGGCATCCAAAATAAATGTTTTTGTTTACTAAATATATGTGTGTGTGTACTGTGTATATTTGATTTGGCATATATAAATACACACACATACAGTATATATTTTGACAATATTTACATGTATTTACTTGTATATATTTATATTCATATAATTTATATTATATATAAATATATTAAATATAACATAACATATTTTTCTTAAATATATACATGCATGTGTGTGCATGTAATATACATAATAAATATACACAGTACACACACATATATCATGCAAATAAAAACTTTTATTTTGGATGCGATTAATCACGATTAATCGCCTGACAGCACTTATATATATATCTCCATTGTAAATAAAAATAAAATATTATTGGTGTATGTCTTAAAAGAAAATACTATATTTTAACCTTTCTACTTCAAATTTCACATTTAATTCAATTTGTTAATTGCTGTTTCTTTGTAATTATTTGTGAAATTTCTGAGTGAAAATATTAAGTATCACAGTAAATAGTTAATTTCTACATATGCTAATACATTGTAACATTTCTAGTTGGAAAAGTTACCATTAGATTCATAAATTAACAATGAACTTCAAAAATGTTGAGTATTTTCAAAAATAAATAAATAAAAAAACTTAAAAATGGAAGTGAATGGGGCAATATGTAAATATTAACATACTTTTTCAATAGTATAGCCACAAAATGACTAAAATGACAGCTGAAATGAGAAGAAAAACATTACAGCTCAAATAATACACACACGCTGACAGAAGAATTCATGTAAGTGCTTTTATAAATCTGCTTTTAAAGGGGTGGTTGATTGTGATTTCACTTTTTTAATGTTAGTTAGTGTGTAATGTTGCTGTTTGATCATAAACAATATCTGCAAAGTTACGAAGCTGAAAGTTCAATGCAAATGGAGATATCGTCTTTTAAAATTCTGGCAGTTTAATGCCTACAAAAACAGCTGGTAAGGGACTACAACGAGTTACTTCCCAGGTCCGTTACGTCAAGAACCCAGAATTTTACATAAACCCCGCCTCCGGGAACACGCAGCAAACAATCAAGCCTAGAAAAAAAACAGTCAACCACCCCTTTAAATTATCTACATACTGGCCTCATTTACTTTCATTGTAAACACCTCACTGTAACATCTATTTTGAGGGACGTGTTGAAATAATTTTTGTGGTAGTCAACATTAAGCACAAATGTTGATGATTGAGCTTAAATAAAACATTTTATAAAAGCTGTTCATTGTTAGTTCATTATAATAAATGCATTAGCAAATGTTATCAAATTGAACCTTACTGTAAAATACTGCCATTTCTTTAATAAAAACACTTGAAAGTGTTGTTTATTTGAATTTGCAAGTAGTTATAGGTAGAAATAGACAACGATATAGAGGCAGTGGGGTAATAAAGTGTGCATCTGGGACTCTGTCCAGAACTGGCTGATAAACAGATACAGTATTACATAAAGACACAGACACACTAGAATGAATGAATGAACTGCAGCGGTGCAGGAGGTCTATGCTGTGTCAAATACACACTAACAAGCCTCATCAATACCCCCATCCCACAATAAACACACAGCGAGTCGAATACCTCTCACATTGTGTTTCCCCCCATCACACAGGCGATCATACCTCTCTCCTCTGATTAGCTGTGCTCCTCTATGCAAACACTTTACAAAACAGGAAGAGGACGACTTGGCAGTGTGCACTGGCTCCACACCCTAAAACTGGTCTTACCAGTGTGTCTGTACTTAGGAGTTATTAATTTCTCCCATTCTCTCTGCCTTTTGTAATTCTGCTTTGTATATGACCAACAACTGTTTGAACCACAGTTCACGAGAGCTTATCAAGTCCGCACACTTGCTTTTCTCCCTTTCCTCTTTTCTTCTTTAGACACTGTGTTTACATTGGGAGTGGCCACCAATTGTGTGAACAACATAATTATATATCTTAAAGGACACATACACATTAATATGTCCCTACTAAATGTAATGTATACACAGGTGTTAATGGAGTCTTTGCACATTGTGGGAGTGTTTTGAGTGGGTGAGTGTGTGTTTTTGTGTCAGGTTTTGGCTACAATGTTTGGGCCAAATGTCCCCACAAGAATAGTTAAACCTGAAAAGAGGTACAGTACATTGTGTAGAGTTAACATGTGTTCTGCAAACATTTCTTTGCAATGTGTAAAGTGACTCCAAGGACAAAGTTGGGAACTGGAAACTTGTTATGTGAGTTTTCCAATGACAAGTATATTTTAGGATTGCTGCAATGCAAACTAATACTAGATTTACACTATTTTTTAAGTATACGCAGTGCTAACTAGACAAAATATAATTTTATTTATAATATACACTATTGTTCAAATGTTTGGTGTTATTTTTTGTTTTGTTTTTAATAGAAGCCTCTTACGCCCACCAAATCTGCATTTTTTTTTTTACAAAAATGCACAGCAAAAACAACAATATTGCGAAATATTATTTCAATTTAAAATTACTATTTTATATTTTAAAATGTTATTTATTTCTGTGATGGCAAAGCTGAATTGTCAGCAGCATTCCTCCAGTCTTCAGTGTCACATGATCCTTCAGAAATAATTCAAATATTCTGATTTGGTATAAAAATATGTGACCCTGGACCACAAAACCTTAAAGGGGCTCATATGATGCGATTTAAATTTTTCCTTTCTCTTTGGAGTGTTACAAGCTCTTGGTGCATAAAGAAGATCTGTAAAGTTGCAAAGACTAAAGTCTCAAATCCAAAGAGATATTCTTTATAAAAGTTAAGAGTCAGCCACGCCTACCTAAAACGGCTCGTTCTAACACGCCCCCACATATCTACGTCGCTATGTGGGAAGATTTGCATAACGCCGCCCAAATGTTCACGCAAAGAAATAAGGCGTAACTTTTATTCTCACTGTAGTTTTGTTGTTGCCGCTGCCATGTTGTAAAGACGCTGTGTGCTTCGTTGTGAAAGCGAAACTACTTTGTTTGGTCTTCCAAAAATGTTCTTTTTAGCAGCATCATATGACCCCTTTAAGTCTTAAGTCGCACGGTATATATGTAGCAATAGCCAAAAATAGATAGTATGGGTCAAAATTATCGATTTTTCTTTCATGCCAAAAATCATTAGGATATTAAGTATAGATCATATGCCATGAAGATATATATCTTATATATATATATATATATATATACAGTAAAAAAGTAAGTCATAGGTTTTGGAATAACATAAGAGCAAACAAATGATGACAGAATTTACAACAGCTGCTCACAAGAAAGGCAAATCCTATTTAAGCTACTTATAAATCCTCAAATCCTCCAACAACAGGTAATAACAGCAAAAGCGTGATGGAGACCTCAATAAATTTCAAGTATGATTTTTCAACAAGTGCTGTGTGCTTCAGACATTTAATCAGTCCTTATGAGAAACGATATTCATAATTAAAATACTGGCTAACAGGATCATGACCTCTGGATTCGACTTCATGTCTTCTCATCTTAATATCACACCTGACACCTCGGAGCCTCACCCTCCCTTCCTGCATAAACACCAATCTCTCCATCCTCCTCTTCTGATTTTTCGGCAAGTGCGTCTCATTTCAAGGTGACACCAACTATGCTCCGTTCACGCCACAAAATCCATCTCTGATCTCAGTGTACCACTTTTAAACAAGACAGAAAATCTTTCCAGCCTCTCTCGAGACTGTTGCAAATATGAAGAGATAGCGATACCATGTGAACTCAATGGGACCTTAATGCTCAGAAGAAAATGGATTTCTCAATCCAAATTAATTAGAATTACATTTAGAGGTAACATTGAATGAAGAGCTCTACCTCAAACACACTGCATGCACCTTCACAGACAGTACCGCAGGTTAATGTGCATGTCTAAATCAGTTAGAGGCATGTTGTAAGAGCATGTTGACATTTTGGTAGTGAAAGGAGGGTCATTTTATATGGCATGCTACAAAGGGCATTCTCACTTTCTCATGCTATCACCGCTAATAGAGGTTAATTCAGTATAAAGGTGTGTCTGGGAGATGAATGCAGCAGATTTCGGCTAACAGCAGCTAATAGAGCAGTATGTGTGTGTGTGTGTGTGTGTGTGTGTGTGTGTGTGTGTGTGTGCGTGTGAATATGTGGCCAGAACACTCACCTTCATGGTGGGTGGTGCAGTGCGGGGAGGTGAGGGTGGACATTCTCCCAGAGGCACACTGGAGATGGTCAGCAGCTCTTGTTTCCTGCAAAACACACACACAGTTAGCCAGGCCAATGGTCAGCATACTATGTAGAAGACTAATCAGATATTGTGAAGTTTTGCAC